GAAATTTTTTTGTCTTTCTTTGGCCAAGCACCGCACCAACCGCATAATTACTTGCGTCACACATTAATTTAAAATTGAGAGTCCAATTTGGAGATATGATCATGGGTGCGGTGCTTAATTTTTCTTTCAAAATTTTAAAAGCTTTTAAACAATCATCATCAAAGAGAAAAGACTTATCTTATTTGAGCAAATTGCTCAAAGGTCTTGTTACTTTTTAGAAGTCTTTGATGAATCTCCGGTAAAATCCCGCGTGACCAAAGAAAATTTGGATTCCCTTCACATTTGTTGGTGGTGGTAACTTCTCTATGACTTCAATCTTTGCTTGGTCAACTTTAAGGCATTTGGAGGAGACTTTATGGCCGATCACAATTCCTTCTATAACCATAAAATTACACTTTTCCCAATTAAGAACCAGATTCGTTTCCACACACCTCTCTAAAACGATTTCTAAAATTTTCAAGCATAACTCAAAAGAAGCCCCCAAAACGGAGAAGTCATCCATGAAAACTTCCATAGTCTTCTCAATAAGATCAGAAAAGGTAGCTTGCGCTCACCGTTGAAAAGTGGTCGGTGCATTGCACAAACCAAATGGCATCTTTCTATATACAAAAATCCCAAAAGGACAAGTAAAAGCCATTTTCTCATGGTCTTCTGGATTAACCGTAATTTGGTTATACTCGAAATATCCATCTAAAAAACAATAGAACTCTTGACCCGATAACCTTTCGAGCATTTGACCCATAAAAGGTAACGAAAAGTGATCTTTTCATGTTGCTTAGTTAAGCCTCTGATGATCAATGCACATCCGTCAACCTATTAATTCATTCTTGTCATTTCTTATCACGGTAGTTCCTCCTTTCTTTGGAACCACTTGTGCAAGACTCACCCATGTACTATCGAAAATCGGATAGATCATCCCGACATCCAATAGTTTCACCACTTCCTTCCTCACAACCTCTTTCATTGTAGGATTCAAGCATCATTGAGGTTGAGCATCCGGCTTGAAATCCTCTTCCATGAATATTTTATGCATGCAATAAGCCGGACTAATCCCCATCAAATCAGAGAGAACCCAACCTATAGCTCTTTGATATTTTTTCAAAACTTGAATTAAACGATGTTCCTCTTTTTTGGATAAAATGTTACTAATAATAATCGGATTGTTAAAACCGTCATCAAGAAACGCATATTTCAAATTAGGAGGCAACATTTTCAATTCAAGTTGGGATTTTTCATCACTCACTTCTTTTTTCAACACATCCACTTCATTTTCCCAAGGTTGCAATTCTTTCAAAGTCTCAAGTTCATTCAAGCATTTTCAATGACATGTGAACTTGTCTTGTTACTTCCATTATAGCTTCATCTGTTGCATCAATTTGAAAGATATCATGTGTATCTTTGGAGTGCTTCATTGCTTCAAAAAGATCAAAAGAAACTTCCTCATCTTGAACTCTCACTTTCATAAGACCATCATCAATATAAATCATCATTCTAGCATAATACCTAGCATTGTCTTTCTTGGTGGGAGCATGAGGATAAGGAAAATTTTGAATTGGGATTGGATTCAACTTCTCTTTCTTTTCTTGATTTTTTTCTTTTTCTCTACATATTCTTTCTCATGGTTCTCATTTTCAACTAATTTCTCCTTTTCATTTATTTTTAAGTACTACCTCATCATTTTTTTCTTCCTCCACAATCTCATCACGTTCTTCTCTCCCACCGACTTCTCTTCCACTCCTTCTCACAATGGATTTGCAATGTTCCTTTGGATTGGTTTGAGTGTTAGCAGAAAAGGATAGGCCCTGTTGTTGATCGGCTAATTGTTTTGCAAGTTGCCTAACTTGGTTTTTAAGATTCTTGATTGATGCCTCATTACTCTTTTGGTTGCCATTGACATTTGCATGAATTGATTGAGAGTTTCTTCCAACTTTGAACTTCCACCTTGAGGTTGTGCAGGTTGATAAGGATTTTGACGGTTTGATGTTCCGGCATCTTGTCTCCAACCTTGTTGATAACCAGGGTTATTCCCTCTTTGTTGGTAACCTTGGTTGTTTTGATAAGGTTGTCGAGGTTGATACCCTTGGTTTTGATTTCTCGCATAATTTACATCTTCCACAACCGGAGGATAATACCCGGTAGGGTGATCTTTTTTTACAAAGCTCACAACTCTCCACTTGTATGTTGTTGGGAATCTCTTGCATTTCCGTAATTTATTGTGGAAGCTTTGACATTTATTGTGTTAACAACTCCACTTGTTGTGAAAGTAATTTCTTTTGCGCAAGAATCGCATCATTTGTTCCCAAATCTATCATTCCTGGTTTTCATTGAGGTGTACCATGGTTGTGATTTCCTTGGTGATCATTCAATGTCATCCTATCAATGATGGCTACCGCATCTTTCGCACTCTTTGCCATTAACGATCCACTCACGGTAGCGTCTAACAAAGTTTTGTGAATCGATTGGAGCCCATTTCTAAAGATGTGAATTTGTGTTAATTCATCGAAATTGTGGCCTTTGCATTTTCATAACATGGATTTGAACCTCTTCCAAGATTCATTGAGAGATTCATTTCCTCCTTGAGAAAACACTGAAATTGTCGTTTTTGCTTCCATGAATCGATTATGTGGAAAAATCGTTCAAGGAACTTTTCTTCCAACGCATTCCAGTCCGTCATCACCAAAATGGATTGATCAAGATACCATTCCTTTGTCTTCGCGATTAAGGAATGCCGAAATAATCTCTTGAGCAATGATTCTTCTTCAGCTTTCGGTGCTTCCGTTGCACCCGCAATCTCATAAAATTTGGTAAGATGTGTGAACGGATCCTCATGATACATACCGGTAAAAGGATTTTGGTATAGAAGCGCAAGAATTCCCATTTCATCTCTGAATGCCTCCCGTTGTGGGCATTGTGCGCAAACTGAGCATTGTGCCTTGGAGTGTTGGTACATGGTGTTAAAGCAAGGGGTGGTTGTGGATCTGCCATGTTTGGCGGTGGTGTTTGTGTAGGAGTAGAACTTTCTTCTCTTTCTCATCTTTCCTTGGCAATTTGCCTCCTCCGTCTAGTTTTACTATTTAACTTACGCGCAGTTCTCTCAATCTCAGGATCGAAAAGAAGTTGATTTACAAGTGACTTTCCTCGCATAAACAAAGTCTGCAAAACTTAACCAAAAAAATTAAGAAGCACAAGAAAAAAGAATTGAGGTAAACAAAGTTTAAAACTTATCAATTATTCTAATGCTTGCAATATCAAACAACAATCCCTGATAATGGTGTCATTTTGTTAAAACAGTATTAGTGTGGGTTTTTGTTATCGTATCCACAGGGATTGGTTGATATTACCGCCATTCTACAGTTGGAATTATTTTAAACATAGAACATAAAAGATGTTTGTTTTGGTTTCTTAACGTAACGATCGCATAAAAAGTTATAAGCAATGATAAAAGAGTTTAGATTTTGAAACGATTGTTAAAAGCATGTCAATATTAGGGCTCGATAATCCATTTCGTGCGTATCTTCTTAATAAAGCATTTGAACTTATTAACAATAAATATAATCACATATCCTCTTAAGATGTTTCGTCTCTAAAATAAATTGTGAGATTTATCATATTGATGCTTAGATGATCTCTCAACATCACTATCAATATGATAACATTAAACGATTGATATTAGTGAATATCAACTCACAAAATTATCTCTAGACTTTGTTTGTTGAAAGATGAAAAAGCTAGGTCAATAGTTGAAACATATCTCTCAATAATGATCCAACACAAATATAAACCATAAAAGTAAGGTTTTTTACCATATATTCATCATCAACTTTTTCACATACAAAACGTCAAGAGAAATACATACAAAAGTGAGGATTATCTACCACTAACCTTGACACAAAAGTGATTAGCTACCCATAACCATGGTAGCTTGTTTTACAAGTTTCGGGAGGAGTTGAATGAGGATCCAGTCGAAGAATCAAACTCGGATGTGAATCTAGCTTCTATTTGTAAAATATCAAGATTTGGTGAAGAAATCTCATAAAATCAGGCTTTGGTGTCTAAAAGTGGGTTATGATCCCCCAAAATGAACAAAAGTACTTATATAGTACATTCAGAATCTGTCATGTTCGTGTTGCGAACTGATTCTTCGCCTAGCGAACCCTAATTTAGGCACCTAAAGTGCCTTTGAACAGTTAAATCGCCCTTGAGAAATATCTGAAGTTCGTTGTGCAAACAATTCTTCGCACTGCGAACTACCTCGCCTACAAGTTTGCACAATGATAATATGGCTCTTTAGCTACTGCATCAAATCTGAGATGGTTCGCTAGCTCTTTGCTGACGCATTTCCACAGCGAACTTTCGCTAGCTTGTTTGCCCAGCGAACTTACAGCCCTTTTGCTACTGCCTCAAGTCTGGGAGCATTCGATGGAGCTTCGCCAGATGTTTGCAAAGCGAACATTTGCTGGTAAGTTCTCCCAGCGAACTTACTGATATTCTTCTCTTCCTTTGGCCTCTTTGTCCATTTCCTTGTGTCTCACACTTTGATGATTTCATGCCTAATTCAGCACAATAACACACAAATCAAAGGGACCAAAGGCATTTTCATACAATTGAAGAATATCATGCTTTCATGTAGTAAATCCAACAAAACAACATAAAAGAGTTGAAAAATGAAAAATAATAAATGATCAATTTAAAGCAAGATTGACATCTAACACATGTGATGAAAACATGATGAATGTCTTCGATAGAACCAAAATAGAAAACACACACCAAAGAATGAGGGATGGAAATGATACCTCTCAAAGAAAGATTACTTCTCGTTGGAAGTCTATCAATGATCATTCTCCAGCCAAACATCTTCACTTTCAATGGAATAATCATTTTCCACAATAATCGTAATGCTGCCTTGACTGAGACATCCAATTGGCAAGCACCAACAGCCTATTGCAATATATCATAACAAAATTTAACAAAAAAACAATTAAAGGAACCATACGGCCAAATCACGACATTAGAAATTTCCCTTTTGGGACATACATCACACAGTAATTGAACCAGCTCATTGTACCCTTCCATAAGTAAAGCACCCCCTCCAAGTTATTGAATCTTAGCTGCCACCTCCACACATCCCCCACCCATACCTCTATATATTTCACCACACCATCTTTCCTATCTAAAATTCCACACAAACTCATATAAAGATTCTGCAGTGTTGAGTTGCATATCCATATGGAAAACCAAAAAGATGTAGTAGTTTCATCACCTAACCTAAAAGATATTAAGTGAGCAAAACCAGAAGCCTCCATAGAATCACCAGCCACCATCAAGTCCTTCCACCATAATGATTCTTGAGATTTTGTACTTGGCACATCTTTAAACATTAACCTTCTAACAAAATTCCCATATCTTTCTTCCAAGCTCCCAACCCATATTGCATCCATTTCCTTTATAAACCTCCATAGCCACTTCGATATCAGCGGCCTATTGAATAACACAATATCTTTTATACTAATCTCACCTTCCTCCTTAGGCTTGCAAATGGATTTCTTGCTAACCCAAGCCATGTCTCTTTTCTCCTTCGAGCCAGACAACAAGAAGTTTCTCTGAATTGATACTATTTCCTGCAGCATTTTTCCTGGTGCCTTGAAGAATGATTGATGATGAACAAGCATATTAATCAGAACTGAATTAATTAGTGTCACTCTTCCCCCCGATAGACAACATCCTCCCCTTCCAAGGTGATAGTCTTTCCTCCAAACAAGATATGACAGGTTTCCAAAAAGACATCATTTTATGATTACCTCCAATAGTGAGACCAAGAAATTTGAATGGTAGAGTGTCTTTTTTACATGCTAGGAAATGTTCAGTAGCATTTAAGAAAAAAGTAATCAATGCCAACCCCATATAAACAACTCTTCCAAGTGTTAATTTTTAGTCCCAATACCAATTCAAACCCCTTTAGGATCGATTTCAATGCCCATAAATTAGACCATGATCCATCACACACTAGAACAATGTCATCGGCAAATTGCAGGAGATTATAATACACACTATCATCTATTATAATATATTAATACTGAGCCACGAACTATTGTTTTGACAAGTCATTCTATTATTTGCCACGTCATTAAAAATATGATGTGGCACTTTTCAAAATATTAAAACTAAGCCACGAACTATTGTTTTGACAAGTCATTCTATTATTTGCCACATCATTAAAAATATGATGTGGCACTCTTCAAACTACAACCTTCCAAAACTTTAATTATTCATTAGAGGAAGATGTGTACCGTTTCATTTAAAAAATCATATTAATTAAAATACATTTATTTTTATATTTCATGAGTCTTATATCCTAATATTCCTCTAACTAAAACTCATGTATACCTATTGATTTATTTCCTTTGTCTTTTCATTCCATACATAAAATTGCATACTTGTACAAATTCTACATTCAAATACATCAAATTATATATTATTATAAGTTACATACTTGTACAAAAACCATACATCAAAACTCAAATTATCAAAATTTCATTCTACTTTTTAGTACGCACACTTATTCACTATACTAAAAACTAAATTAATTAATTTTTAAATAAATTGATAGAAAAACTATTATAAAGATAAAATTTACTTTGTTTTTCTATATTAATTTTTATGTTTATTTTTCAGTACCTACATGTTTATCAGTACTTCCCAATAAAAAAATATAATTTAATTGTGTCGAAAATATTTTTAATGAAAATATTCATTTGTATGTATCAATTTTAAAACTATAATACCTTTCCAACATAATTTTCAATGTTTAAGATAAAGTACTCAAACATTACTTTCAAAGAGACAAACAAATACTTTTATATTTGATCTTATCATAACAGAAAGGAATCAATAGCCTGCCACATGTCGTGAGCTTCTGTTTTCACCAGTGTTGAACAGGAGGAGGGGTGTACTTGCAAGGTACTCCGATGCCTAAGTGAGTAACGGAGTTAGAAAGAGCAAGTACATAGAAAATAGGTGTTGAGAATAGAAAATTTGACCCTCTAGTGAAAAAGGGTATTTATAATGTATCCCCAGCGCAGGGCCAATGGTAACATTGCATTGGGCTGGATTGTCAGGCCCAACACAAGTAACTGATAGGGCTTACATGGTGTAGAGAAGACCAGCACATGGTCTTCGCCCTAGATCAACTACTCAGTGATCTTCGGAAGGTGGGCTGACCATTTTTTTCAGAAGTGGGTAGTTGCCTAATGACGTGTCCCTGCGTGGGGGGCACGTGGATAACGTAGAGAAGATGTGTGAGCTCTCCCTGTGCTAGGTAGTGGTCTGCCCAACGATAGAGTTAAGCGTTCCCAACATGGGGAGGACTGGGTCTTTTTAGGCCTCCCCAACATAGTATTGGGTTGGGCCTGTCCGATTGTAGGGAAGGTCTCGGCCCAGTCTAGAACAGGAGCCCCCTAAGTCATTGCTCTGAGGCAGAGGAGTAATGACTTAAGAGCTAGTTAGAGTGTCGAGGACCAGTTTAGAGGATGGGCAGCTTGTCTGGCATACAGAGTTAGAGGTTGTGTGCGTGGCCAGGAGTGAGACAAGCTCGACAAGGTAGTAGGTCGCAGGGAGATCTTTCTGTCAGTTGTACTACTGGAACCTCTTCGCCTCTAGGTATATCCCCGTTTGGCGTTTTGGTCGATGATATGGCAAAGGTAGAAAGGAAACGGGCATGCTTGGTATCCAAGCACGCGGGGAAGCTGAGAGGACGTGCGTGGTGTCATCTAGAGCCACGCATCACGTATAATCAATGCCTAGGGCGGCTATGCGTATGGGCACTTGAGTGCCTAGTGCTACCTTGCTTCCCGCTCCAAGAGTATAAATAGGAGGAAATTTCCTCTCATTTTCACATTTCCCCTTCACATCTGTTGCTACCCGAAAAATGACACAGAGTCGCCGCCGGATTTTATTTATCCCAATGAGGGAAATGGAAATAACGATAAAACCTTTAGGAAAAGAGCATGATCATCGCAACTAAGTTTCGGGTTCGGAAGTTGGTTATGTGAGGGGAAGGTATTAGCACCTCCTCAAATCCATCGTACTCGATGGGAACCTTCTAAGTTGTTTAGCTTGAATGGGTGTTTTTAATTTAAAAGTTTACTTGCTTAAAGGAAAAGAGGGATTGGTTTTTTTATTAGAGTGCTCGCCAAGGATTGTGGCCCTTGTGCCTACGTATCCTCACTTAAAAGAAGTGAAGAATCAGAGCTCCGTAGTTCGGAGGCTTGTGAAATGGTTATTTGTCGGTTGATTTTGTACCTCGAAAAAGGGTTTTCGGATTGATACCCTAAGGCGAAGATAAGTTTGATGACTTGATGTTTTTTTAAGGATTTTTTAGAAGAAATTGTTCTTGATTAGGATCACACTAAAGACTTTGGGTAGAGATGAATGTTTCGAATAACCAAGTCGAGCGCCTTGTATTCAAAACATTCGGAACGAGTGTAGGAGGGGTTCCATTCTCATTCCTTCTCCACCACTTTAAAGCTCATGGTGTATAACCCCAATCATATCTTTATCGTTTTTTTGGATTTTTTATGAGAAAAATACCACTTGATGTTGGATCAAGGGTTTTCTTGCTTGTAAAAATATTTGAAGTGATGCGAACAAGGTCGATAGCGACGCACAAGGCAGTCAGTCGACTTACAAGGTTGAAAATGGCTCGATAAAATCGAGAGTTTATTTTTGAAAATAGTTTTTGGAACCAAAAGTCAAAAATGACCGTAATAATATCCAAATACAATGGTCGTACAATCGCATCAGGTTAATCGGCTTGAAAATACGAATAAAAACAAGAAATGAAAAAAATACAAATTTTTTTTTGAAAACTATGAAAAGTTCGTTGTGCGAACTTCTTAAGGATTTTCCTATATCAGTACGTTATTCACAAACAGGGACGAAAGGTACTGAAGTTCACTGCACAAACCTGGCAGCGAAGCTGCCTAGAAAAAACCTCACTAAGTCCGTTGTGCGAACTTGCTGAGAAATCCCACAAAACACGCACTATTCACAAACAGAGGCAAAAGGTGCCAAAGTTCGCAGTGCGAAGATGCCAGCAAACAACTCGCTAGCTAAAAATAAGGGAAAACTGGCTATTCAGTGGCATTCTGAGTGCCACAAAGTGATGTTCGCTAGGCAAAGGGTATGTTCGCAGTGTGAACATGACAGCACACATGAGTATTTTTCAACTCATTTCGCTACAAAAACTAAATTATGTTCTTTCCTTTTTTGTGTTTTCTACAATAGTTCTTTGTCACTCTTGAGACCTTATTACAATATGTACAACACAAATATTATTTAAGAGAGAAAATAAAAACATGAAAATATGTAAAGAGAGAAGAGTTTGAAAGAAAAAATACCCAAGAGCTACTACTCTCCTTCTAATCACCACTGTTGTTTTGTTGGATGTATTTTCTTCTCTGACACTCTATGTTTCTACCTCTTTTTTTTGTTTTTCTTTCTAAAACCCTCTTCTTCTTAATGTCACTTTTCTCTCTTATTTTTCTGGTTTTCTCCATATCTCTTGCTCTCTCTCTCTCTCTCTCTCTCTCTCTCTCTCTCTCTCTCTCTCTCTCTCTCTCTCTCTCTCTCTCTCTCTCTCCTTATTTGTTGTCGCTCCCTCTCTTTTTATGCTTAGAACATTAGGGTTTTCGCTTGTTCCAAAACTTCAGATTTCTTTATTGGGGAATACCTTTTACCACTTTCTTGATGTCACTCTCTTTCTTTCTGTTTTCATGAATGCTGCTTTTCTGCATTAGGTGCTGCACTTTGCCTAGGCCTGTTTTTCTGCTGCCCATTTGCATTACTTTCCTTTATTCATTTGTTTTTGGGTTGTCCTTGTGGTCCATGATTCTCCCCTTGACAGAAGTTTCAAAATCTGAATTTTGGTATGTATGTGAACCAACATGAACTAGTTCCTTAAGTTTGTGACATGGTTTGTTTAGTTGTGAGTTAGTTGGTCATGGGGCTGTTTTGGATTAAATTGAAGTTGCCCATGAATAAGCATAAATGGTCTTGCTTTTGAAAGGTTCCAATATTGAATTAACCTTGATTATTTTCCTTGGATATTTGTGGGCATAATGTGGAACATGTAGACTTGTTGGGGCATGAAGGATACCATAGCATGAATTTGATTAGAAACTTGAATTAAGATTAGAAATATCTTAATTTCTAAGCATTACTTAGAGTTGGAAACTTTGTAACAAATGTGACATTCTTGCAATGTCATGAAATTCCCTTTGTAATATTCTAGTCTTGAATTTGGAATGATGGATTTCCCTTATACCATTAAATTTGAAATGGATGAAGTCTTGAATTATGAACTTGTGATCTTTTGAATTCCACTTGAACATAGAATTTGAAACAAAGTTAGATGAAGAAAACTTGAATTGGGCCTTGCAATTCATGTTCATTAGGGACATTGACCTTGAATACCTCAATATTTTCCAATTAAGTTCTCCTTGAAGAAATCTACATGAGTAGACTTTTCAACTTGAACCAAAACTTAGATGATGAACACTTTCTTCAATGTAACCCATGATAAACCATTTCTCTGATTTGAAATGAACAACAATAAACCGACTCAATCCTT